TTTGCTCAGGTTTGCGCAATTTCAGCATCAAAATAACGCAATTATCAAATTCAACTAAAAAGCAAACAAATAGAAAGCTAACATAAAGCTTAAAACTTACATTACCCACCCAACCACTCCCATTTGGGGGGGCGGCGACGCTCTGGAAATTGCCAATCTGATCCTCCCCAACTTCTACTTTCTTAACATTAACCTCACTCGCATTCACATTCAATTCAGTTCTCCGTCCAACAGCTCCACCATTCTCTCCATCCTCTTCCTTGACTCGGGGGTCATCAAACCTCCTACTCTTTCTCTGATCTCCATTCACTTCCTGACCATCTTCCTCGAATCGCTTCCTCTCTCTCCTCTCCCCCTCCGAAACCCTGGACCTCTTCTTATCTTCTAAACCATCACGATCGCCATCTCTACCCTCACTCCTCTCCCTCTCTTTCCTCTTACGCTTCGATTCCTCTCGCTCCTCCGACCTCTCGCGTTTCGCTTCCCGATGCCTGGACCTCTCTCTGCTCCCTTCCCTCTCGGCCCTGGGCTCGTAGGACCGCTCGCGGTGGTCCCGCGAGACATCCCTGCCGTCTTCACTGGGCTCGCGTGACCGTTCCCGACGAGATTTGTGGTCGCGGGGCTCGCGCTTGGAATCGCGGTCCGATCGATGGTGGTGGCGGTGGTAATCGGTGTCCTTTGACGATCGCTTTTCATCGGCGTCACGGCTGCGATGCTTATCGTAGTCTCTGTCTCGATCCCTGCGGTCGCGTTTGCTCGATTTGCCTTTCTCCATAGCTAGGGTTTCCAAATTTCTCACTCCTCTCTCTCTCCCTCCAAATGGGGTTCAGGAGGATAAATTGGGCAGAATGCAACGGATACGATTTTATATGGGTTTTTTCGCAAAAACAAAAAAGGAAAACCGACGGAAAAGTTTCATAATACTCTAATTTTAATGAAAAATGATAAATAAATATGTAGTGAATACTATCAGCGAAAAAATGTAAAAATATAATATTTCGTTAAAAGTGAACAATATCATGAATGTTACGTTAAAATTCCTTAAAAAATGAATTTGATTTATTTTTTTAATTTTTATTGCAAACCATTCCATATTATTACTTTATTGACACAGCGAGATACATAACGGAAAATCGAGCGATATCCCAATACTAAAATTCATTTCGAAGGAACTAGGAGGAAACTCACGTTTTATTGATAATAGTCGAAATATAAGAAAACATATCCTAAACTTTAAACGCTGTTTTAGGATAATAAACAAAGAAAGTTGGCCAAATTTTTCTCTGTTACAAGATTGTTCTGATACCAATGCCTAGACCTGCATTTCGCTAGCCTTGTTGCCAGTTTTTCTCTGTTACAAGATTGTTCTGATACCAAGATTGGTTGGAAGCTTCAAGTGGGTAGAGACTTTGCTGCAGTTGTGGTAAGAGATTCGATACCATAAATGGATTCCGAATTTAATCTATTCAATGAGATAATGAAACAAAGATTGTACTAAACTTTTTCGTGCATTCATTGTTAAAAAGAAATTCGCAAAGAAGAGAGATATTTTTACTTATTTTTTTTAGTGGAATTTGTAGAAGTAGAATACGATTGAAGTGAATCGAAAATGTTTTACTGTTTGAAGAAAGGAAATTAAGGCTGCAAATGTCTGTGTAGCGGAGGCTCTAAAGATATTGGAAGGGTGCCTTCTTGCCCAAGAGAAATCACTACGAGCTTAAAACAAGGAGTTGACAAAGGCAGCTTGGAGACATTCCCAATTCTTACTCGTATTTTCGAGCTGCGGGAGTCCTTTCAAGCGTTGCAGCTAGTCCTAAGTTCGTCGGCCAGATAATGAAGCAGCGGATTTTATTGCATCACAACAAGGAGCGGAGATGAGCGATTTTTTTTTGTGTCGTTAGACCCCCATCTTCATTCGTCAAGATCTTGAACAAGTAGGGCTTGTCATATCCACTAGTTGATGCGAGTGAGTGAGAAGTGTGAGGGGATGACGTCTGGCCTATGTGTAGAGCGTCTTTCTTATTTCCCTTTCCTTCTTTCTATCATGTTTGTTTTTTTGTCAGCCTTCAATTTGGTTTTCTGTTTTTCTGTCGTTTTTGCCCTGTAAATGAATTCCAGCTTTACAAAGAAAAAAAAAAGGGAACTTTAATGAAAAACTCCCGGTACTGTTCACTTTAACGAAAAACCACATTTTTACACTAAAAAGTCAATCATGGTACTATTTATTTTACCTTTTATTTTGTCCTTATAATTAAAACTCAAAGTTTTCAAGCCATTTTCATTAGTTTTCTAAAAAAAAAAAACACTCAGGAGCAAGTTACTACTAGGCTAATAAACTGACGGCATTTTGTGGGTGTGCAACTTTGGGGCAAAAGATTCGTGTGCTTTTATATTTGTTTCAGACAATTTTTCTTGCTTCCCAGGATTGTGTGTATTATTGTTTTAGGGTATAGGAATTAGGGTTTAAGTTTACTAAATACTCAGGGTACGTATGCTTCTGATTTTTCTTGTTTTTTTTTATTTTTTATTTTTTAGGGAAGGGATTGTTAGACTAAGCAAGTTTATATTATATAGAGGTTAAAATCAGAGTACACCTATTATTTGATATATTTTTTTGTATTTGAACAATGGATGTTATCATCTGCACCTTGATATTATGATATGATGTTATTACGTTTTTGTTTATTGATATTTCACATTAATGGTACTATAAACATTCAGGAAAACAGGAAGACAAAAACAAGTCTATTTTAAATCCGATCTTTACCCGGAATATAGCCAACAATTTATCAAAACCACTTAAATACTATCTCCGTAGCCTTCGAAAAATCATGAAACTCGCCAAAATTGAACTTAACACCTCTCACTCATAAGTAGAGAGGAATGTCAATTAACGATCCTTAAGTTTTTTAGATGGAAAAATTAGGTTTTCATCCCTCATTTTGCTACTCTATTGATTAAAATCCTATTCATTTTCAATTTTTGATCAAGGTCCTTGGGTATTAATAGCATCATTAATTATTTCAATAATAAAATATTTTTTTATTTCTAAATATATTCATTTAATGTTAAAAATGTTACAATTAGTATATTTATATTTATGATTAAAATTTTTATCATATATTTAGTTTTAGTTTGTACCCATTTTTAATTTGTAATTCTTTTTTAACTTGTACCAATTTTCTTTTCAGTTTTAATTTATACACATATATTAACTTCTTTTTGTGCCCATATTTTTTAAAGTTTATTTGTATTTGTACCCATATTTTTTTTTTTTGTACTTTTTATTTTGCTAAATGTACCCATGTTAATTATATGTACCCATTCATGTAAAACTTTTTGTTCTTAGTGCGTTTGGTACGTGGGACGGGACGGGACGGAATGGGACGAGGCGTTCCGTCCCGCGTTTGGTGCGCCAAAAATGGGTGGAACGGGCTGTTCCACGGGACAGATTTTGAGTGTTTTTGCGTTCCACCTCCCCCTGGAACGGGTTTGTTCCACGTTTATGGAACGCAATGTTTTACCATTTTAAGACAAATATACCCCATGTCTTTTTCAAAAATTACACCTTCGTTCCGTCCCGTCCCGTCCCGTTCTGTCCCGTCCCGTTCCGTTCCGTTCCGTCTGCGTACCAAACGCACCCAAAATGTACTCATTCTTAAATATACCAATTTGTTATATGTAAAATGTACCCTTTTTTTCCATAAAATCTATTCAATTTTTTTCTAATCCATTTTTAAACATATATGGGTACATTCTTTTTTCTTTGATTTTAAAACGTATCCATGTCAAGTTTAATCGAAGAAATTTACTAATGTTATTAAGCCTAATATCTTTTTTTTTTTTTGTTGATTTTTGAAGAATGTACCCATATATACACACACACACACACACACACAATAGTATATTTATATTTTTAATCCCACAAATTATGTTTTTTGTTCAAATTTAAAATCTCATTTATATAAACAACTAAAATTTCTAATTTATAATTTTAAAAATATAGTAATGTACAAAGAAATAAATTATCACATTAATTTCAGGGACCTCGATCAAAAATTAAAAACCAACAAGGTTTCAATCAAAGAATATTCATAAATAAGGACCGCATTCAAAGTCTCCCTTTTTAGATTATCTAAGTAAATTCTTTTTGGAAAAATTAGTATCCGGTCCCTAGTTCTTACTGTTCATTAACTAAGACCTTATTAGTTCTCAAATTTTGATTCAAGTCCCTATCATTAATGTGATAATGAATTTACATGTTTATTATATAATTTTTAATATAAAAATTAGTAATTAATTTAGGGTTTAATACTCACACCTCTATTAAACTTCTAATTAATTTTCAATTCAAACATTTCTAAAATAATAAAAAATTAAATTAAATTAAGTTTGTACCTATTAGTTTTTTCTATATATATAAAAAGATTCTCAATTTTTTAATCTTAAATGTACCCATTCATATAATTTTTCAATTTTTTAAATCTTAAATGTACCCATTCTCAAATATATCAATTTGTTATATGTAAAATGTACCCTTTTTTTAATATAAAATCCATTTCAAATTTTTTAATTCATGTTTAAACTTATATGGGTACATTCTTTTTCGTTGATTTGAGAATGTATCCATGTTTTGGTACAATACTTTTTTTTGTTAATTTTGGTTAATGTACCCATACATATATGTATACACACAAACACACACAATATAATAGAGAGTATAATTTATATTTTATTATTTTTAATCCCATAAATTATGGGTTTTATTTAAAATCTCATTAATATAAACAATTACAAATTTCAATTTTTAATTTTTAATTTAAAAATATAGTAACTTACATTATTATATTAATGTCAGGGACCTCAATAAAAAACTAAAAACTAACAAGGTTTCAATCAAAGAATATTGATAGTTAGGGACCGCATCCAAAGTGTCCCATTCTTTTTTTATTAATGAATAATGGCGTAAGGATTTATCTTTAAGTCAACGAGCATTACCCTGTTTTCTCTTTCTTTGTTTTTTGGCAGAACGGTTCTCTCTTTGCTGGATTGTGTTTGGTGAAGGACTCTTTGTTTCATACAGATTGCAGAGAGATTAAGAGCAGGCTAATACAGATTAATCATCATTAATCATCAGCCACTGCAGGAAATCAATGGCAGGTTTGTTTGACAAGCAAGCAGATTTGTACTTGGATTCAAGGCCAGCTTATCCCAAAGAATGGTACTCTAAATTGGCAGATCTCACTCCTCACCACTCTCTCGCTTGGGATGTCGGAACCGGCAACGGCCAAGCCGCTATCGGTGTTAGTATCACGATACTACCCTCTTTCCCTTCTCAATTTGCTGCATTTCTTTAAATTCAGTTGAAATTATTTACTTTACAATACAAGTTACAATACACAACATAGCAAGTTAGTTTCTTTTTTCTCTTAAACTAAGACTTTCACATAGACGTGAGTCAGGAAAGTTGATCACGTTAGTATGATGGTGCCTTTGCACGGAAGTTCGAATAGCATATTAGAATAATTTTGAATATCGTTTTGTCAGGTCCATAATTTCATAATATACATATTGGTTGCATCCCTGCTTTTCTATGCTGCATAGACTACTTGTATGCAGCGATTGAGACCGAAAATATATAGATGACTATTGCACCCAAATCTTTTATTTTCAAATGATCAATATGCATACATAGAATCAAAACAAATGATTACTGAGATTCGCCAGGAGGATAGATCTTAAATCGCAAAAGGAGGGTTCGAACTCACTGAAGTTTTAGTCTAGATTATAGTCTAACCACATTTCACACGAGTATTGAACATGTTGACTGTTGCAAAATGTTACCGCAACGATTGTGCACATTAAGTTTGACAAGAGAACATTCATCGCTCTAACATGTATAATGTATGTTTTAATAAAAAGGTTGCTGAGCACTATAAACAAGTGATTGGAACCGATGTGAGTGAATCCCAGCTGCAGCGTGCAATGCCACATCCACTTGTTCGATATGCCCACACGCCGTTAACCATGACAGACGACGAATTAATAGCCTTGATCGGGGGAGAAAGTTCAGTTGACTTGGTGACTGTGGCTCAAGCTGTGCACTGGTTCGACCTACCAAAATTCTACAGTCTTGTTTCGCGGCTTCTGAAGCCAGGAGGCGTGTTGGCGGTTTGGTGCTACAATCACATCGAAGTTTGTCCCGAATTTGATCCTATTGTGAAGCGACTTGAGGATACAAGCCTTCCCTATTATCATCGTAACATCCAGTACGTGTTTGATGGTTACAAGACGCTTCCTTTTCCTTTTCAGAGCGCTGGTTTCGGATGCGAGGGGAGTCCATTGGCTCTGGACATTCCAAAGAAGTTATCTTTCGAAGGGTTTTTGAAGATGGTACGGTCATGGTCTGCAGTTAATACAGCCAAAGAACAAGGGGTGGATTTGTTGCCCGAAAAGTTGGTTAAAGAGTTTGAGGTTGCTTGGGGCGGCACCAAATTAGTCAGGTCTGTCAGCTACAAGGCTTTTATGCTCGCCGGAAAAGTTAAGGTGTGATCTTGTTGGGAGGGTGTGCGGATCATTTCCTCATTTCCTCCTACAAACAAATATTACTTTGACGTTTTTATTGAAATTTCTTCTTGTGTTTCTTATGAGTCAATATATGTATCAGCTTGTGATTTGCATACTATAGTGTATATTTATAGACTTGTGAGAACTGACTCGAATCTCACTTCAGAAAATAAACACAAGAAATTATTTAGCTTTCGCACTCTACCTCTTTCCTCTTTCACCTATTTAATGTATGAAATTCGTCTCAACCATTGATGAGTTCAACTCTTTAAGTACATGCGACATATATCAACAGTTAATCATCATTTACGTGTGCAATTTTTCTTACCATAACATTTTGTTTTATAGTCTCTCTGACGTAGCATGAAGCTAAGGATTACAAGTGTAATCCCTGTAGAACCAAAATTTTCTGGAATCCACCAATTTGGAGAGAAATCCCAAAGGATGATTTGATTAATTGATGATTGATGATTACATTGAAGCATCCATTGACTTAAATAAATGGACTACAACTCCCTGAGAAAACTTAAATGGCTTAGGTAATTTAAACGAAAGCAAACGACATTAACCAGACATAAATCGAGGTTCGGTTTTTATTACATAATTTCAAATGCTGTTTTGGAAGCCTAAACGGTCTCGGATGGCTAAAACTCACCATGTTTCATTGCAAAGCTGTGAGTTGGAACCATGGCGTTGTTCCCTTCTCAAAAAGGTATCATGGCTCAATTCGGAGCTTGGACACCAAATCTGCAAATTTATGCTGCATCCCTTTGTCTTTAGTTAGTCTATTTCCTCTTCTATTTCCTCTTCAATTCACTCGATCATTTGTTCTATGTCACTCTCTCTTTGTTCTTAAAGAATTGGCAAAAACTTCAATGAATCATGCCTCTGCAACCCCAAAGGACAAAGCATCAAATTCTATTTACCCAGTGAGGGCTGCTTCCCTCTCCGATCTAGGTCAACAAAATCATAACTTTATCACCTAACGGTGGACCAAGTTTTGGAAAAGGTTGTATCAAGTTTTGTGATTTATACTTTTGACTAATAAATAATTTACATAGTAAACAATGGCATGCATTTGTTTAAGAGTTTCGCTTTCGTTAAGTCTTTGTCACATTTAATTGATGGACATTCTAATATATAAAGTTTGGGAAAAGACATGTTGCCTCTTATTATAATACTCGATGTAGATGTGGAAAATAAATATTTTGTTCTTCATGCAGGCTTACGTTTGGCCAAACATCTTGGGGTTAAACGAATTGATATCTTCAGTGACTTTCAATTGGTGGTTAACCAGGTCACCAACAACTTTGACGCTAAGGATAGCTCCATGACAACATATCTGGCACAAACACAATTGTTGCTCAAGCACTTCCACTACCAGATCACCCAAATTCCTCGAGCGGCAAACAGTCATGCAGATGCTTTGGCTTGCCTCGCCTCAGCGGTGGAAGACAAGATTGGGAGAAAAATTCAGGTCGAATTATTGGCAGCACCAAGCACCATGGCTACGGAAGTGTGCAACTTACAACAGGGGGATAGTTGGATTACCCTGATTTATAGATTCCTTGCTTATGGCACCCTTCCAAATGACAAAGTCCAAGCTAAGCAAATTTGATACAAGGCTACCCGTTACTTGATCATTAATGACCAACTCTACAAGCGGGGTTTTAACTTACCATACCTAAGATGCCTTATGCCCGCAGAGGCGGAAACTGTCATTCAGGAAATACATGAAGGAGTTTGCGGAGATCATGCTGGATCTCGATCCCTAGCACACAAGGTTTTTCACCAAGGATATTACTGGCCAACATTCCACCAAGATGCCATCAGAATATCCCGCTCATGTGATAAGTGTCAACGCTACGCAACTATTCCTCACTCCCTTCCCGAGCCGCTCACTCCTATGATTAGTCCTTGACCCTTGGCCCAATGGGGACTTGATTTGATTGGCCCAATGCCTGTAGGGAAGGGCAAAGTTCGTTATGCAATCGTTGCAGTTGACTCATGTGATAAGTGTCAACGCTACGCAACTATTCCTCACTCCCCTCCCGAGCCGCTCACTCCTATGATTAGCCCTTGACCTTTGGCCCAATGGGGACTTGATTTGATCGGCCCAATGCCTGTAGGGAAGGGCAAAGTTCGTTATGCAATCGTTGCAGTTGACTACTTCACAAAGTGGGCCGAAGTAGAACCCTTGGCAACCATTACTGAGGCAAAAATAGAAGACTTCGTATGGAAGAACATCCTTTGCAGATTCGGCATTCCCAATGCGATAGTCACTGACAACGAGCGACAGTTCGACAACAATAAGTTCATGATGTTCTGCTCTAAGTTTAACATCAACTTATGTTTTGCCTCCCCATCTCATCCCCAGTCTAATGGACAAGTTGAAGCTATTAACAAAATAATCAAGCGAACTTTGAAAACCAGCTTGGACAAGGTTAAAGGTTGTTGGCCAGAATTTGTACCCTAAGTTCTTTGGTTATACCGCACTTCGTATCGGACATCAACAGGAGAAACCCCATTTTCACTTGCCTTTGGTACAGAGGCAGTTATCCCAGTTGAGCTTGAGCAAGCAACGTTCCGAGTCCAGAACTATGTGTAAAGCGAAAATGACAAACAATTTACTCTCAACTTAGATCTAGTCGAGGAACAAAGAAACCAGGCTCACTTGAGGAATGTCGCCTACAAGCAGTGCATCTCCAATTACTATGACTCAAGGGTCAAACCTTGTTCTTTCAAAGTGGGGGACTGGGTATTGAACAAAAAATTACTCTGTGACAGAGTCCCGAGTGAAGGAACACTTAGTCCAAACTGGGATGAACCGTTTGAAGTTGTTGGCATCAGTTGCCCTGGCTCCTACAAGCTTAGAAGCTCCGATGGCAAGACCCTTGGCCATCCATGGAACACTGATCACTTGAAGTACTATTACAAGTAAACTCACATTGTACAAGTGTTAAGCTTCAGCCGTTCGGCATCCTATGTAACGAAGACTATTTGGCTTGAATTCAATAAAGAGGTGATTTAGACAAGTCGGACCTAATCCTCTTACATTCCTGGCAATGAAACACTTGGGTTCAAAGCTTTAACATAATGCTTCCAACATGAAACAAAGTCTAAGTATATGTTAACAAGACTATACAAATAAAGGAACAGCATCACAGTATATTCGTTCAATCATACATTCCAACACATTCATACATAAGCCAACTGTGCTTTGAAAGGGTTCAACATACTTTGTGTCATTCGACACTTGCTACAATGTGCCTAGACACCTTGCCCTTATTCTCACCAACCAGGTGATGAAATGTACAACCCGTACTCTCATTCATGCCATCAACCAGGTGATGAAATGTACAACCCGTACTCTCCTTCATGCCACCAACCAGGTGATGAAATGTGATGAAATGTGATGAAGGAACTCACATTCGTACCACCAACCAAGTGATGAAAGCAACTCACCATTCATTCCACCTACCAGAAGACGAGTGGTACAACTTGTACATGTGAACTCCTAGTATTCACAAATAATCAAAAACCCTCAAGCTTGACAACTCAACTAGGGGAGCACTTATGCCCAACAAGAGTTATAGTAACTAACAAAATCTTATTGCAAGCCAATAACAACTTCAGTGCATGGCATACGAAGATCAAGCTATTCAGCCCTCTTGCATCTGCTTCAGACATTTCTCATCTCTAACAATGCAAACACTACAACTTGTAGAAAGCTTCACACACTCTTGATCAAAACAGTGTGAAGCAAAGCCAATTTATGGTGCCAACAAGAGCTTCATCAAAGGAGTTCAACCACAATTCTTAAAAGTTTCATACACTCTTGATCAAGACAGTGTGAAGCAAAACCAATTTATGGTGCCAACAAGAGCTTCATCAATGGAGGGCAACCACAATTCTCAAAAGCTTCACACACTCTTGATCAAGACAGTTTGAAACAAAACCAATTTATGGTGCCAACAAGAGCTTCATCAAAGGAGTTCAACCACAATTCTCAAAAGCTTCACACACTCTTGATCAAGACAGTGTGAAGCAAAACCAATTTATGGTGCCAACAAGAGCTTCATCAATGGAGGGCAACCACAATTCTCAAAAACTTCACACATTCTTGATCAAGATAGTGTGAAGCAAAACCAATTTATGGTGCCAACAAAAGCTTCATCAAAGGAGTTCAACCACAATTCTCAAAAGATTCACACACTCTTGACCAAGATTGTGTGAAGCAAAACCAATTTATGGTGCCAACAAGAGCTTCATCAATGGAGGGCAACCACAAGTCTCAAAAGCTTCACACACTCTTAATCAAGACAATGTGAAGCAAAACCAATTTATGGTGCCAACAAAAGCTTCATCAATGGAGGGCAACTACAATTCTCAAACCTTTGAAGCAAATTCAAGACTGTTCGAAGCAAATTCAATTTATATGGTTCATCCAAACCTTCAACTACTACAAGGTGTGACTTGCATCACAATCTTTTGCTCAATAGTGTGGAAGCAAAATTTATATATGTTGTCTCTCCCACATTTTCAAATTTCTAGTTTCCCCAAAAAAAAAAAATGGGAAATTTAACAAAGCTTCATCAATGGAGGACAACTACAAATTCTCAAAAGCTTCACACTATCTTGATCAAGATAGTGTGAAGCAAAATCAATTTGTGGTACACAACAAAGCTTCACCAACAAAAACTTCATCAATTGAGGACAACTACAAATTCTCAAAAACTTCACACTATCTTGATCAAGATAGTTTGAAGCAAAATCAATTCATGGTACCCAACAAAAGCTTCAACTCCAAAACTTCACCTACAAAGCTTCAACTCCAAAGCTTCACCTACAAAAGCTTCACCCACAATAGCTTCACCTACAAAAACTTCACCCATAAAAGTTTGACCAACAAAAGCTTCACCCATAAAAGCTTCACCAACAAAAGCTTCACCCACCACAAAAGCTTCACCTACCACAAACGCTTCACCAACAAAAGCTTCACCCACAAAAGCTTTCCCCACCACAAAAGCTTCACCCACAAAAGTTTCCCCCAACACAAAAGCTTCCGCCACCACAAAAGCTTCACCCATAAAAGCTTCACCAATAAAAGTTTCACCTACCACAAAAGCTTCACCCACAAAAGATTCACCCACAAAAGATTCAACACAAAAGCTTCACCTACAAAGGTTTCACACTA